CTAAACTAAATGATTCTATATTGAATAAGTATGAATTCAGTACCACTCTTTCTGAAGAACAGCTTCATTGTGTCTGAGGTAGCTGCTAACTCTGTTGCAAGCAAGACTTCAGCAAGATACCTTGGGCTCATCAGCTATGCCAAGTCTTTTGGCAGTAAGTGAACAGAAGACTCTTACCTTTATTTGCGGTATGGTACAAAATGAAATTTTAATGTGATTTTGTGCTGAAAAATCTTGCTTTTCTTTTGAATTTTGAACCTTTGGTAGGAAAACCGCACTTCAAGATATCTGCAGAATTTGTAACTAAATGGTTTCCAAGAGGTAAGGCTACTTTTTAAGACTTGAATAATTGTGTATTAGAAATTATGTGCAAGTAAACACTTTCTTTCTGGTAGTCCTTTTCCACCTAGTCAGCAAGTCTTGCCCCTGATGTATCAAAACGTATATCGCAATCTACATGTCAGAAGATTGCCTCCTGAAGTACAAAAATGTGGATCCATTTTATTGTCTCTTGTGCAAGTATTTCATTGGCAAAAGGCCCAGTTTTGTAGGTTAAAACAGGATAGAAAGTGCATTTTCAAGTCTAACCCCAAATCTGAGTGATGTGTGGTGGGATTTGAAAGTGATAGCACTTGTATGTAAACTCGTTACTGAAAAAACATTATTGACGAACAGCTTGTCAGCTTACTAAACTAGTGAGAATACGCTAATTCAGTCAGACATCTGGTTAGATTGAAATTGGTTAAATTTGAAGGTTTTTGCCCTGTGAAAAATAAATATGTTTTCTTGTACATGTGAGGAAGGGTAATTATGCGTTAAAATGTTAGCTGTAAAGTAAATGAGGCACACAAATTATCAGATGAAAACAGAGGGGGAAAAGGGTTCTGATGTGCATAACTGCCTTCAGGCACAGATTATTCCTCAGCTTTTGTGGTTTTTCAGATCAAGTTTTTTTTGGCACTGTCGAACCCAATGCAGACTTTTAAACCATTTCTCTGTTAAATAATATCCTTAATAATTTCTTTCCTGCCTGCGGTATTACAGTTTCTGCTATTGGCATAGCATCAGTTTTATCGTCAGCCTCAACTATCTTGCTTGAAATGACCTGTAAAATTATCTTCCAGACTCTTCATTAGACATAATCTCTTCAGGGAGTACTGCGCAGCGTGGCAGCTGCGTTTCAGATTGCTCGTCTCTTTGCTGAGATGCTGTGTCCTCTGAAAATGTGTTGCAAGGGTTTTGTAAAAGGTAGAAGAGTTAGCATGAGGGAGGGGGATTATTTCCTTTTATAGCCTAGTGGATGGAACACTTTCCTATGAATTAGGACTAATGGATCTACTTCCTGCTGGGCTCAGGAAAAAAAAAATCATGTCTAGATCACTCATATTCTGGGTGACTGAATTTAATCCCCGAAGTCTTGGGTTAAAGAGCATCACCATCATTACCAAGCACCAGAAGAAATTCCAGCTTTTAGTTCCCTCTGCATTTCCTACCAGTATCTGGAAGGGAATGCTTCACTTTCAACATTAAGTGTGTCTTTAGTTCAGTTCTACTTTTTTTTTTTCCCCTGCGTAAGTTCGCTTTGGTGAAGATTTGTGAGATTTGTTGTGTTTAGTTGTTAGGCACTTTTGTATTCACTTGTTGCACTCACTAATTTGGCTGTGAGCTTCCTTTTGTGGGCTGCATTACCTGAACGATTTCCTATGCTAATACTTCATAACTGATTTTTGTTTCACCTGTTGTGGTATTTCTGTAGATTTATATCTTAACCCTTACATGGTTACTGAACAAAAGAAAGTAATCTCCCTGTGGGGCCTAATTTTATGAAACTGGAAGCTTTCCATGTAAGTAATTTGTTAAAATTTGCATGAGGAAGGTGGAGTAGTGATTAAGAAACGTGTGGGGTATGTACGGCGTACTTTTCACTGTAAATGTTAATAACAAGTGTGTTCTTTGTCGAGCACCCGCACAGCAGTATTTGTCACCACAGAAGCTGAAGGTTGTAATAACTGGCTACTTGAAGAATTCCTGCCAGCTCTCAGTGTCCCCAAATGAAGGTGACTTGGCATGGTGGGTCTACCTTCTCAAGCTGTGTTCAGACTTTCCAGCACTGCAAACATGAGCAAAAGAGAATTTTGGCAGTTAATCTGTATTCATCAAATTCTTTATAACTTGGTTTCATTCCTCAAACTGTGATGCAGTGCAAGGCAATGACTTAGTAAAGGGCTTCAATCTTAAAGTGCATAAAAGAAGTCTTACATACATGTTTGCGCACGTATTTGTGAGTATGGACACTTGCACATAGGGTCTACTCAAACTATAGGCTTAAAAGGTTTGTGCTGATAAGCAATATTTAAATGTAAGTTTTGGTAATTAAATGTGTACAAAAAGGTTAATGGTAATTAAATTACATGCAGTTTTCTCTGGAAAGGATTATCATTTTTATCTTCCAGTAGAATGGTTATTATTGGTTTAACAGTGACAATTTAAATACATAATGAAGTATACTATTTTTAGCAAAATACAAGTTATGGAATATAATGTGAAAATGACTAATTAAAGCCTGGATTTATTTTCTGTATCTGTTTCTATACAACTGTGCTATTTCATACCTTTAGTACAATCGACAGCAAAGCTCTATTGTCCCCCAAACCTAATATATTTAAATAAATGTCAAGGTCAAAAATGAAGAAAGAGGAAAAGGCAAGCATTGGCACTAGGAATGAAATGTGAGATTGGGCTGAAGAGCCCCAAGTAAGTGGAGTAACAAAGGAACTCCGTGTCAAGGACTGTCATTTTGGGTGTATTCTCTAAGCTATGTGGGAAGTGTGGATGGCTTGTTTTCTGCCAGAGCTGAATATTTTGTTTAAAAACTGTTACTAATTTGAACAAATGGCAGTGGTGTGGGTGAAAGCTTTGTCGTGGGTGGGCCATTTTCTTTTAATGTGGAATAGTAGTGATAAAATAAAAATGACAAATAGTAATAATAATAGTAATTGTAAAGAAGTAGATGGGATGCCTGCCTCTTTGTTCAGGCGTTCCTTCAGTAGTGCCCTTAGTCATACCGCTGTTAAAGTTCTGCCTTGTGCATCAGTAATTAAAACTAAAACCAACCTTGGCCGCTGCCAGCCCAGGAGAACATGACTGAGTTGCTTTTTGCCCTTAGAAATTAATTAAATACAGGTTTTGGTGTCAGATTTGTTTAATCTCTGAAGAGATTAAAGAACTGAGAGATTTTTAAAAATTATTTAGTATCTATGAGGTCTTCACATGCAGGTAGAAAGAAGGATCATGAACCAAAAAATCACGGTTGAAGCAAATTTGATTTAAAAATACCCCAGAAAACAGATCATGGATCACATTGTCTAGTGCTGCACCACTAGCAATTTTACAGAATACTCAGATTGGAGAATTTCTGTGAAACTTTGATGCATGTTACCAAATCTTGGATGAAACAGGTCAATTCTTGCAAATGGCACCTCATATTCTTTTGAGTTAAATCCTGATCTGTTGAATGTAGTGTGAGTTTTGGTGGTAACTCAAGCGTTTGTCAGGTTTATATTAGAAATTGACTCAGTTGTAAATGACCTGCAGCAGCAGCAACTGCAGCAGCCCCTTCTGACCATCTGCACAAATAGCTGTTTCAACAGATTTACTCTTGGTGTACGCCAGTAGCTGTGCATGTTGCAGATTGTAATCCCTGAGCTGCACAGACCTCACGCATTTCTAAGCAGATGCTGGTTCATTGCTGCTAATAAGGGCAAATTACTGTGGAGCCAGATGAATTGTTGCTTCGAAAAGAGGACCTGGGTTTCACCATGACACATAGGGACCCACTATGTGCAAGCAGGCAGTGTCTAATTCAGAGGTGGACAGTAACTAGCCTGAAACTGAGGAGCTATTGAAGAGACTTGGCAGCTACAGCTCTCCTGGTTCTTTCTGAAATGTTATTTTTATTCATCTTGGTTAGCTTAACTAGCAAATAAGTATTTGCCCAGCAGGCTGGCAGGTAGACTACAGACTACAGTGCTAGTTGCACTGGTGTTAGTTCAGATGGACACTTGGCAGTGCTGATTTTCTCTTGGCCCAGTCAATGTTGTGCACATTGACTGAATTTAGGAGTGATGACTGATTGTTTAGAAGCCTTTCAAAAGAGAAGATAAACTCATCTTTAAGGAGTGATTTACATTTTCTTTTCTGTTAGTTTTTTGCCTGTGGTGTGTGTGTTTCAGTTCTTCTAGACATGACTTTTGTCCCCTTTTTTAGGACAGGTAGCCAGGTCAGACTGGTGAACTTTGTTAGAACTATTGTGTGTGCATGTCTTAGGCCTGCCAAGTGGTATTAACCCAACACTTCATGCTTTTTGTAAGTCTCTTGAAGTGCATTGCAAACAGACCCATTGCACACAGTCTAGCTGTCAGCCTTCCAGCTGCTGGGTGTTTGGCAGCAGAGAGAGCAGCTCTTTCAACAGCAGTGTTTTAAATCACGGACTGTGTCAATTAAACACCTCTACAGCATGTGGCACATTGCAGGAGAACGTAAGGGCAGTGCCACCAGGAAATACTTGTAATTGAGGTGCAGCTTATGGGAAGATGCTTTGGAAACTGTCATTGCCAAGCTCAGAATAACTGTGCAATTAAGACTTGAGCCGTGAACATCACAAATACCATTTCTCTGCTGATTATGTTGTAGGGAAGTGCCCTACCTTCCCCACATACTGATGTGCATGTGAATCACACGTGGCAGAAGCACACTTACGAGTGGGAGCTTGTGATGGGGACAGTGTCTGACACGCCTGATCACTTAGCAGTGGACTCCTGCATCCCTCCCCCATGAAATAGATGAGCTTGAGAGATGTGTGTTGAGTCAGAAGGCACAGGGAGCTTAGTGCTGTGGAGGATCCCAGATATTAGTTAAAATAGGAGATTGTGTGTGTTTTGTTTTTTTCTCTAAGCATTTGCAGTATGTGCCAATGTGATACCAGAACCATCATTTTGAGATTTGTTTTTTTTTTTTTTTTTTGTAGTTCTTTCAGAAAATACTTTGAGCTTCTTTGAGAATTGTTCCTAATCAGCTGAGGGGTTTTTATGATTGAAGACTGTAAACCAATTTTCTCTTCTATTTTGCGATGCAGCAATTGATTTTTCTATATTAGTTTAGTTCTGCTCTGCTAATCTTTGGGTTTATGCATTATTTCCTTAAACTAATTTAAAATTTCAATTCTCAAGTGTTTTTTTTTTAATTTATTAATGACATATCACATTTCTATATTATCCTATTCATTTCTCAGGAGAGTTTTTGTAGAATGCTGCTCTCGTGGCTTGCTTAAATGAATCTTAAAATCTTGCTTCTACCCTTACAATACCTGAATTTGTTTGTCTCTCTGTAAGTGTAGAAATCCAAACTAAAAAAATGCAACAACTGACAACAATTGGCAACAATTGGATGGAAGTGCTGTAGTGATAACAGGAGTTAGTTAATATAATTTAATTTTCAGGTAGTAGGACTGGGATGAAACTTTCCAAGGATACGAGGTATTTTGTATGACCTTATGTATGGCAGTCTTACTTCAGGATCTTCAAAACTAAGCCATGCAACATCTAAATGTCTGGAAAGTTTGGGCAGCAATCCATGTTACTGCTCAAGTCCCAAGAGGGTTGAGAGTCTGTAACAGCCTCTTGCTGGCCAGAAAAGAATAAGGAGCAACATGGCAGACGTGGTGAAGGAAGAATAGCAGTGTCTTGACATCTAAGCAACAGATAAAACAAGCAAAAATTAGAGTGAGAGAGGAACGTAAGTTTCTGAAGATAGCAGTTTATATAATCTAAAACCTTTCCTAGAGCACTGGAACAAAAGTCAGCAATAGCAGTATCTCCAGGAGGTCTGCAGAATGAACACTGCCTGCGGTATGAACCAGTAGCAGTTAATGTTCTTCACTTTTCTGCAGAAAAAAGCCCCAAAACTTAGAGGATTAAGTCAGAAATATATTTAATCATTTAGTAACATCTGATGTGAGCACAGTGGTAGGTAAATAGTGACTAATGTGATCGTGAAATTTCAGTACTGCTTTGTATGATAAAATAATGATCTTATCTAACAAGTTGATATATAAAATATACACTGGGATTTCTTACCCCACAGCCACTTCCAATCAAGGGAAACTTGAAAAAAGAATCTTAAGACTTACAGACAGCAAGGCTAATTTCTCTAGTTTTACTAGGCTGCTTGAGGATCTTTAATGACCGGAGGTTTCCATGTTATTGATTCTTACAGCAAATCTGAAAACCAGCAGAAATTTCCCCAGTCTGTGAGTGAGAACATTGATAATGCCTTAAAGGTAAAGAATATCCTTTGTGGATTACCCAGGTTCAGTTTGTGCATGTCTCCCTGACTCAATGAGGGACAGAGGTAGCAGCCTGGCCGGGGATCGGTGTGCCTTTTCTGATCTCTGGCTGTGCATGCATGTCTTCCTGTCCCCAGAGGGTCAGAAAAGGCATGGAGGTACACAGTGAGGAAGAGGGGAAATAAGGGGACTCACTGTGCTGTGGGGGATATGGTGCAGTTCCTGTCTGGATTTCCTCATTGGAACTGGAGTGCGGGGTGGGAGGAATGGTGCATGTCCAGGTATCACTCCAAAGACAGCATGCATGCGTGCCTACAGGAAGGTGCAGGAACTCGGGAGCACTCCTAGTGGTGGTGATGTATGCTTCTGATGCTTCATGTTCCTAAGTTCCTGATTTCATGAGTCTGGAACTTCTAGATCAGGTTACAGACATTGCATATTGTGGATAAAACATAGTAAGGCTGGTAGAAACTCCATGCCCATGCATGGTTTATTTTCAAAATCTCTATACTTTAGCAAAATATCAGGAACTTTACCACTTTCTTTCGATTTAGACATGGGATTTGAGGTTATAAGGTAAAAATCTTGCTGGTACCTGCTTTCATCTCTCTCGTGGTCTTCAGGCTTTTAGTTGCTACATCCTTGACTGCTGATTTTGTGACAGGAGTGGCAGCAAATGTGGAAGAGGCTGAGAGGTTTGTCTGAAATGAAGCATTTAGCCTGACCTTCTGGTCTGGGCTCTTTCTGTAGTGCATAAAAGAGACAGGCACCTTCAGGGGCTGGCTCATCAGATCTGTTTCAGGGCTGGGTAAATCATGCTGGTGGCTAAAATGCAGAAGATTGTTGACAAATGGCAAATCTGTATTGTACAACATGCAGATGCATTGGCGCTCACTTCAGTGGGATTTGTGTTCATGTATATGTGAAGGATATTATCATCAGTCTTCAATACCCCATAATGTATATTTTGTGCTGTGTTTCATTGTGTTTGGGAACAAACTACAGAAATGTGAAATCTGCAATAGACAGTGAAAATCAGCATGTATGTCTCTGATGAAAGCTAAAATCTGGCATATGTATATTTATATAGATGAATTTTCTGACCTTTGGCTACTGAACTATACAACATTTAGATTGACTATTTCGGGGAGAATTAAGAGGGATACTCTGCATGTTAATCATCTGCACTGCATTAGTGAACAGAAGCAAGAAGAACAGGATATGTATGTAGACCCAAATGGTTTTGCCTTTTACCAGAAGTAATCTTGGTTCTAATCTTAGATTCAAATTTGAGCTAAGCAACTAGAGCATAATCTTTCATTTTCATTAGAATGTTTACTTGCAATTTGCAAAAGTATTAAACCTGACTTTTTTTTAAGTAAACCCTAAAGATAGATTCCATAAGCATCACAAAAGATTTTGCAGAACTTCAGTTCCTCTTTCCTTATTTTCCAGTTGGTTGTCGCAGGTAAAGTAGCATTGCTAGTGGTCGTGTAACTTTGTCTCAAAACAGGTTTTCCTACAGTTGAGGCTGTTTAGTAACAGTCTGTGATATTGGATCCTGTTCTTCCCTCTTGAGTTACATTCGTGGCTGTATCACCTTTAATTAATTTCATGCTTCTGCAGTCTGCATGCAGGCTAGTTCAAACTGAAGGTGAGGCTGTACCTTAGTTATAACCAGGATGTTGCTCTGCAATTATTTTAAATTTTAAAACATTAATTGCATAAAACTGGCATAAAGTTTACATAGAAAACAGGCACATTTTCTGTTCAGGAATTAATTAAGTTCTTAATTTTCAGTGTCTTGGTCACCTGAACATTCATGCAGAATGATTTTTCTCCGTTCACAAAGTATTTACACTTATACAGGTTTTTGTCTCAGGTGGCTAGAAACTCTTCCTGGAGTTTAAGGAAGGATCCTGCCCATTTGGAGACATGAGGACAGTTTTGGTGAATCTGAATTGCATGAGAGATGCAGCAGCACATTGCCTTTTCTGAGTGAGAGGTAATTTCTTTATCTGGAATTGCTCTTTTAAATGTATTAGTGTTATATTGGGAGAGGGAGAATGTTACCCCAAATACAAATTACCAGCCAGGCATCCCCTGGGCACTGGCACATTACAGCTGGCTGCTTCTTATTGTAAGAAATAAGTAACAAGATTCGGAGTGCTGAATGCTACCTGAAAATTCAAGTTCATCCTTGTGTGCAGGCTCACAACTGGACCCGGCAGCAGGGTGCTGCTTCTTGGCTTGTATGGGGTGTGAGTTGGTTCTTTTGGTGTTGGGATTCTGCCTCTCTACCTGCTGGGGTTGTGTTGCTCTTCTGTGTGGTGATAGCAAACAGTCAAGATTGTTGCAACTTTATCAGCACAATATCCCACCTGTTTGTATGAGGAAAGCATATTTTTCTGTGACACTCGTTGGGCATGTTTGCATGTTGCTGGACTTACAGCGTTTGTCCTGAACATAGGCAATGAGTTGTTAGGGGAATGTGTTCAGTTATACCCATTGGTATCACTGAATTGGCTAAAGATTCAGTGATCAATAGGATCACCTTGCCTCTTGCTCTGCTTAATAACCCCTGAGCTCAGAACTGAGATAGATGGTGGAAGAGAACAAGAAAATATCTAATGCTGCTATTATGTACATCTGAAAGTATCCATTCTGAGAATGTAAGGTGCAGTAAATACCAAATAAAAAACAAAAGCCCAAACAAAATGAAACAAACAAACAAACAAAACCACCAAAAAACCCAAGATGCTAAAAATGTTGTAACTGGAAAGAATGCTTGAAAGGAACGTAGAAAGTTAGGGATGTACAAAATGAGAATTCCTTCTTTTGCTACCTGTTTCCAATCATCAATAAACACCTTCCTAAAAATTCAAGGTAATTTCCAGAAAACAGCAAAGCCAGTTGAAGCTGCTGTACATTCCTGTGCCCTGGACCTGGATACTGCAGAGTCCCCCATCATGGGGGAGAGGGACTAAGAAACTATTTCATGACACTTTTCATATGCAGCATCCAGAGAAAAGATAAACTGTCTAAGTTAACTTTGTATCCCAGAGATTATTTCTGCATGAGGGTGTGACTCTTCGTTTCTCACACTTGTACATTTACTGCTGCTCCAGAGACTACAGAGTATAACACTTACAAGAGGATCATGGGGAAAAAAAAAAACCAACTTCTAATAAAATTGTAAGTGAATCTCTGCAAGTGAGTGTTTTATCTCCCCCTCCTCTCCCCCATCATTCTAGAGTGTTGCCTTGTACACTTGGCAAAACAGAACAATTTCATTTTTCCAATAAGGGAACACTGTGTTCCCACTTTCTCAAGTCCTATGTAAAAGTGAAAGCTGAGTAATTGTGGGATTTCTCTTCATATGTAATGTTACTGTTTTGTATCTGTATTCATGGTTAAAAGAATTACAGTTTCAGTTGGTTTATTTTGCCAAACAAGTCTTGTCAAAACTGTTTTCAGAAATACTGACCATTTACTTTTTGATCTAAAGTGTTTCAAGATGTCTGAAATAAGAATCTTTAACTTGGCTTGTTGAAGCCACCCTCAATTACATGTGAGTCGATTTGATATTAACTGCTTTTGTTTTCCCCCACATGTGACTGTATAGAGGACAGTTTAAGCTCTCTGCTGAACTCTTTTCCATAGTATGTGTGATATGACTGCCTTGGCAGTCAGCAGCATTCAGAGTGTATCTGTGTGTTTGTGTTCAGACAATGGTGTTCTCTCAGGTTCAGCCCAGGCAAGGCACTTCTGACCAAAGCTACAATTCAGTCTCCCTTCTTTAGGAAAATGTAGTTGTTCTGTGGAACACTAACAAATGCCCACATTGTTTTTTTTGTTTTGATTCACTGAATTCTCTGGGTATTAGTGTTAAGTTATAAAGGATGATGTTTCTATGTAACAAAAGTTTTAATTAAATGATAGTTCTTCTTGAGCATATTGCAAACCCAGTATAATGTGATACTAAGTAGAATTAAGTAGGAGCTATTTTCAGGTGATGTTTACGATTGCGCCATGGTGTCAAATGCTCCAAAATCTACTTTCATATGTCAGTTTGAGTAAATACCCCTTAGGAAGAATTCTTTTTTCTCGATTTCACCATGGTGAATTACTGAGTGATAAGGTATGTTTGTGTGGTGTCAAAGACCAGGTTGCAAGAAGTGTTTCAACTTGGGCAGAACAGAAATCTCAGTCCACAGTTGCTACCTCCTAGAAAAATGTCAGCAAGGTGGAGCCATTGTTCTGTCTCTTCCTTGTGTTTCTTTTTGAAGATTATGATCTTGAAGTTTCCTCAGTGTATTTTGAAACTTTTATTTTCTGCTGTGAAAGTGAACCTCTTGATTTCCATTTAGATATAATTACAGTCTTTGTCAAGTAGTTGTAAAAGCTTTCCTATGCTGTCCTATTATTACTACATAACTGGACAACGTCAATAACTAATTTTTTTTTTCAAATATACTGGCCCATGGATTTCTTTTTTTCTGTGGGATCAAAGGCAACACAATATTCAGTGGATGCCAGGGCTTTTTCCTTTCTTTTGAGGGAGGGGACAGAAGGTTCTTGAAATTTTACAGTTGTCACAGGAAAATATTCTGCAATTCCGTGGTAGCAGTAACTGTTAAAGGTCTCATTTTATGGTTTTGACCTACCAGCTTAGGTCTCTCTTTTACATTGTTCCGTTTATTGGAATTGTTTCTACACCTTAGGTCTGAGAAAGGCAATTTGTGCGGGGATTGCATGTACGACTTGAGACCAGTTTTCACTAGATATGTCCCTGAGGTTGGGATATCAAATATTTCATTTGTGCATAGCAGAGAACAATAAACATCATCATTGTTTCTTTATAAGGAAGAAGTTCTTTACTGTGAGGGTCATGAGGCAGTGGAATGGGTTGCCCAAGGAGGCAGAGAATGCTTCATCCCTGGCGGTGTTCAAGGCCAGGCTGGATGGAGTCTTGGGTGCCATGATGTAGTGTGAGGTGTCCCTGCCCATGGCAAGGGGGGTTGGAACTAGATGATCTTAAGGTCCTTTCCAACCCTAACTATTCTATGATTCTTACAAAGTAATTACTTTTTAATAACAGTAATTACAATTATTAAAAAAAAAACAAAGTAATTACTTTTTTTTTTTTATATACATTGTTTTCCTTTGGGATTTTCTTGGGGTTTTTTGTTTTTGTTTTGTTTTTTTTTTTGTCTTTTTGAGTTTTTTCTTTTTTTGATGCTGAATACATATTTCTTCAGGCTGCTTTGCAGCAGATAGCGGGTAACATCTACAGAAATAACTCTTCTTACTGGGATTCAGTTTAATGCTTTTAAATTGGTTTTAGTTTTTTTTCTGGGTAGCAGCACTCGGCTATTTGTTTTGTTTAATACCACTTTGTTTTTTAAGCACTTTTAAGGTGAATTTTATTGTATTGCCTTGGTTCTTCCATTTAATTAGTAATACATCATGTTTGCATAATGAGAATTGCTGCTTTTGAACATAGATGCATGGAACATTGCATTATTTTCCCACAAGCAGATAAGGGTAAAAAAAAAAACAAAAAACCCCAAAACTCCTGTACTGAAACTAGAATTACTGTGAAAATCGTTATTTTACTGAAGAAGGAAAAATTGGTTTAGATTTACTGTTTTCTCTGAACTTGTTAAAACCCAGAGCTGCTAGTTAACATCAGCATTTCAGCATTGGTTGAGTTACAACTGAAACTATTCTGGGTAGTTTTCAGTTTGTAGAAGAACTTGGTTACACCAACATTCATGTTGCTGATGGACACATTTCACTGTGTTACAGAATATGATGAATGAACAAATAGATAAA